TTTTTTTTTTAATGAAAAGCTATAATCAAAAGAATGGTTGTAGCTAAAGGAAAATGCCCCGGCGTCCCTGAAAACAGGGACCTCTGTTGGCGAAGTCTGCAGGGAGCTGCCAACCCAAAGGTGGTGCTTTTCTGCTGGTTTGAATCTGCCAGCAGCTCTGCAGAAGATGAGCAATCTCCTTCAATGAAATTTACAGCTGAACATTCACCAACGCATCAATTTTGACTTCGTGGCAATGACAAACTATTCTCTGAATACAACTGGCAATTCTGAGTCATTCTTGTGAAGCTATCCACATGTTGTCGGGCAGACAACACGGGAGCTCTTGTGGGCTAGGGGGTCAGGAGCTGCACCACCAACCCAAAGACAAAAAGCTGGAATTCATTAGCTTCTTTACTGGACAAAGATGGGACATTGCCTCCTGTGTGATTTAGAGCCTCTGGAATCAGTCATGAACACACCAGCAATGAGTGGAGTGTTATAGGAGGAATCCGTGGTATAGTCTGTAGTGAGCTGTGCTGTTGACTGTGGTGTCGGATGATTTTGTGAAATAGCTTTCCCAGCACACTGGCTCTGGGTTTTCACCACATGGCTGGGCAGGAGCATGTAGATTACTAATAAGGAGAGTGGCAAGTTTTACCATCCTGCCAGGTTTAACTGAGGTGGTGTAAAGGCAGAAGATGAGGACCTCTCTGGAAGCAAGAAAGAAGAATGCAACACATGTCTTTGGGACTACAGACTCCTGTGAGGGATGCAGACCGATCAGGACTGATACACGACAGCAACAACAGTGGAGAACCAGAGACCAAGTGAGCCAGACCTGACTGAGGAATGCCAGCCATGGAAACAGAGCCAGGGGCCAGGGGCCAAGCCTGCTAGAGGACTAAGGGGCTGATGAGGAGGAGATGCCTTAACTGGCAGGACCAGAAAAGCTTGCTAACACTGATCTGAAGTTGTGAGGCTGACGGTCAAGGTCTGCAAGCACACGTGAGAAGCTGACCTGATTGAAGAATTGCATCCTGTTTCCAACTTGAATTGTAATCTGTTAACTTCTTTAATAATAACTCTGAATATGGTTCCCTGATTTCAATATGGCCACTGCCACAGTTCAGCAAACCCAGCGGTGTGAATCTGAGAAGGATGGTGGTGTTAGAACTGATAGAAGTAGATGCAAGAGGAGCTGGGGGGCACATCTGAGCTCATGGAAATCATTTTTGTGCTGTGGGTATCATGGGTAGGAATCATTCCCTTCTTGTGGAGTGGGCTGGCTGTGGCCACCCCCACATGGGTCTCACTCTTTCTCACACTAACTGAAAGGCTACCCTTCTTTGGAGGTTTGGATCTACCAGCAGCTCCTCAGGTTTTCTCTCCTTATGCAATTTACAGCCTTAGAAATGTGATGGAGAATCAGCTTGCTGGCAATGAGGTAGAATAATAAAAAGATTTGCTACCTTACAAATATATGTAGAGTGGAGTGAAATAGAGAAAAAGAGATCTCTATCCTTTAGGTTGCTTTAGCACCACTATACAATTTCTAATGACTGATGAAGGCAAAGTTAGGCAGTTCCAGACAGCACTGTTATTTAATATGATGGAAAAGGCTAATCTTCAGAAGACTGAAAGACAGTTAACAGTGAAGAGGGAGAGTTAAAAACTACCAACCATAAATACTAGAAAGCTGCGAATATTCAAAAGTGAATTTCCTAATAGATTCATGCAGCTTTGAACTTCTCAAAACTTATTTTATTTCACTTGGTACCAAGAGAAAGATTACATTTAAAAATTAGAGAACCTCAAAGACTCAAATACATATTTTTATGCAACATTATTCACAATAGACAAAAGGTGGAAATAATGGATAGACACAATTTGATACAGCCATATAATGGAATATTATACATCATAAAGACAAATTATTATCTATCTCATACACACTCTTTATGACATGCATGAACTTTGAAAACATTATTTAGAGTGAATTAAGTCATATGCAAAAAGATGACTTTATAAGATCTCACTTATGTGGAGGAGGTAGACAGGTACTGTTTAATGTACACTGGGTTTCTACTTGAGTTAGTGAAAAATATTTAAAAATAAAGTGATAACTGGTTGTATAGCATGTTGAACATAACTGGTATAACTGAATTATACCCTAATAAGATGGCAACTTAAAATAACAATAAAATTACACACACACACACACACACAACACGCATACACATATATGCATACGAGGGATCCACTTCCAGAAAAGAAACCAAAAACTCCAAAGGAAAACATACCAAGACACTTGAAAGGTATGACAATGTGACTCTTGCACTGTTTTTTGTCCCTCCGGCACCAGTTGTCAATACTGACTGGCTGGTTTGCTTCCATAACATTTGTGATCTGCAGCTCTGGATACATCTGTTAAGAAAAAGAAAAGACACACCCTAAACACACACAATGTCCTCATTTTTCAGGTGGACATTTACCTGTAAGTACAGGTCAGTTTCTAAGCTGATGGAGCCTATACAATTTTCTTCATGTGTTCAACAGTGCTACTCCACTACTCTTTCTACCAATTAAAGGGACCAGAGAACAAAAAACACTGTAACTATTAGTTTTGAGAAGCTTATTCCTACAGTTTTCCTGCACTCTCATGAAAGAAGGAATCTTTATTTAAGACACATAAAGCCAGGACAATTTCAAATTTTTAAAAGACCCCAACACATTAAGTATCAAGATCACAGGTGAAACAGTAAGAACTGCTCGAAGTTTATAAACTAAAACATTTAAGAATCTAAGAAAATGTGTTAATAAATATATAATACCACTTCCTCCCTTATATGCCAATATTGCTTAGAAGTTAAAACATCCCATATCCTTTACTGAGTCAAGTTCTGACTCACCAAAAAAGATGAAGGAAACCCAAGATTATCACAAAAGTGGTGGCTTTATAATCAGCAAGTAGAAAAACCACCTGTTGATTCGTATTTTCCCATAACAAGAGGGAAATTAAGATAACTTCCATAAGTCTTGATAAAAAAACCAAGAGCTCTCAGCTGTGACCTCAAACATATCATGCATTTTATCTCCCTAAATCATGAGTTTAATATGAAAAGGCGTGGTGCTCTAGTCACAGTCTTTGTTGAGATGAGAACTACTGACATCAGAGGAAACAGGTTGTAACCTAGGCCAGAAAACAAATGGTTCCTACTTCCCAGCAACACTCTTACCTCTTGACAGTACTGAAGAACTTCTTCTTTTGTCCCAAAGCAGCTTTTTGTGCCTGTTGGATCTGGTTCCCATTTCCCAGTCTGAATGTTCACATGCATATTTAACTTCCCACAAAACATTGCAATTTGAGGCTCTGCAACCGCAAATCCTGTTCCAGCATTGGCTGCAAGAGCCTGTTAATAAAGAGGAAAAAACCTCTCAGATTTACACCAAAACAAACAAGTAAATTACAATAAACACAAAACTGATACAAGGACATGGCCATTCAGCAGCTTTTAACAGTAGAATGTATCTTTTGTTGAAAATTGTCATTATTAACTTTTTTCATTTTTATATTAATAAAAAAGTGGTTGTGCAAGATTTTTTAAAATTATCAAAATAAGAAGTCAATGGTTTACATATGAAGTTCATAAAGTTCGTATATATTATTTTTCACACTGAATCTTTCTCCTTTCCTTTACCCATCCCTCTCCTCCACTCATCAAATTGTGACCCTATGATTAATCCCCCCCCCAGGTCTTTGTACTTGTTCTACAATAATGGTCTTATACTGTATTTATCTTTGTGAGACTGAGTTAGTTCACTCAGCATGATCATCTCCAGATCCTCCCATAAAAAAAAAAATCTTAAAAGAACAGGAAGCAAATATGATGAAATGCTAACTTCCGTTAAATATGGATGGCAAGAACACAAGGATCTATGATAATCACTTTCTGTAAATATTTCATTATTTTTTAAAAACACGTTAATGGGAAGTCTTTAATAAAAAATGATGAAAGTATCAAATGGCTCAATTTATGATACTTTTAGTTCACTCAATTACACAATAAGTTTGCATGAAGTAACTCCTAGGTGGCCTTGTGGTAAGGAGTTGCACTGCAATCCCAAAGGTACTCAGTTCAAATCTACCATCAGTTCCACAGAAGAAAGATGGACAACCTCCCAAGCAATTTACTGCTTCTGAAAACTCTCTAGAAGGTCTGAGTCATCTGCAGTATAGAACACGACTGCACAAAGTTTTAGTGGTACAATATGCAGAGAGCTGTGGTGCTAACCCAAAGGCCACACCTCTCTGGTACAGCTTCAAAGAATAAAGAAATGGAAAAAAAAAAAAACCCAAAAACAAAAAAAAAAATAAAAAACACCCAAAAACTCAAAAATTATTGCTCTGGAGTCAGAATCAACTCAGTTGATCCTCTGCTGAGTTTCCAAGTCAGTAAATAGCTTGAAGAGATTGTTCATCTTTCTCCCTCCAATGAAAAAGATAATATAAAAAGAAACAAAACAAATATTAGAATAACGGGAAAAGAATAATATAATAACTACAAGAACCCAAGAATGGATATGAGCTAGCTAAACTACTGGCAAAGTAGATGGGAGTCCAAGGCAATAAAAATTATGAGATCTAAAAAAAAAAAAAATTATGAAATCTGAAGAATTTAAGACAACATAGTAATGGAAATGGAAAATATCATTAAAGACACTAACATGCATTTACAGGCACCTCAAAGGAGAGAAAAGTATCAAAAGAAAATTTGAATAAACCACAGCAGAAAACTTTTCCAATCTGACAATGGACAAACACCTAGAAATTCAAGAAGCTCAATAAACTCCAATTAGGAGAAATCCAAAGAGATTAATATTGTAGAGTTCAAGAATCAAACTCTCAAAATCTGAAAAGAATATATATTCTCACAAGTAGCAACATTTTCATAAGATTAAGTGACAAATTCTCCTTCAAAATCTTGGTTATCAGGGATTAGAATGACAGTTAAAGTACTGAAAGAAGGACTGTCAACCCAAAATATTATCTGGCAAAAAGATACTTCAAGAATGAGGATAAAATGGAAACATTCCCAGACAAAAGATGAGAGAGTACATTATCATAGACCTGTCCTATTAAAAATGCTATGGAGAATTCCTTTTAAGATAGGAAGAGATACAGGCAGTAACAAACAAAGGAAAGAGAAAAGGTCTCCATCAGAGACAGCTCCATGGCAAGCCAGAGGGACAGTTTGAAGGTATTTTTTACCTTTTCAACCTGTATGCAGAACAGATTATCCGAGAGGCTGGGCTCTATGAGGAGAAGTGTGGCATCAGGATTGGTGGAAGATCTATTAACAATCTGCGTTATGCAGATGACACAACCCTGCTTGCTGAAACTGAGGAGGACATGAAATGCTTGCTGCAGAGGGTCAAAGACTGCAGCCTTCACTATAGATTGAAGCTCAATGTCAAGAAGACAAAGATTCTCACCACTGGACCAATTGGCAGCATCAGGATGGATGGTGAAGAGATTGAGATTATTAACAACTTTAGTCTGCTTGGCTCCACGGTCAACACTCTTGGCAGCAGTAGCCAGGAAATAAAAAAACATATTGCGATGGGAAAGTCTGCTGTTAGGGACCTCTCCAAAGTACTGAAGAGCAATGGTGTCACTCTGGAGACTAAGGTGCATCTGATACAGGCCATGGTCTTTGCAATCACTTGTTATGCATCAGAGAGTTGGACAGTAACTAAGGAGGATAGAAGGAGAATTGACGCCTTTGAGCTGTGGTGCTGGAGAAGAGTATTGAATGTTCCATGGACTGCCAAGAAAACAAACAGATTTGTCCTGGAGAGGGTTAAACCAGGCTGCTCCTTGGAGGCAAGGATTCTGGGGCTTCATCTGACATATTTTGGACATGTAAGGAGGGACAGGTCCTTGGAGAGGGACATCATGCTTGGTAGGGTAGAGGGACAGCACAGAAGGGGAAGAACCTCTATGAGGTGGATTGATTCAGGGACTGGGGTAATCGGGATGGGTGTGTCAGAGGCAGTGAGATTGGCACAGGATAGAGCCGGGTTTAGGGCTGTTGTACATAGGGTTGCTATGAGTCGCAAGCAACTCGATGGTACATAACAACAACAACAACAAACAAAAATTCAATTAAATCTAATGAAGAAAACAATTAGCATCATTATTAACTGGAACTGAAATAATTTATTAACAGACAAATTCAACTGACAACTACCGTGGAGTTGGTTCCAACTCAGCATGACCCTCTCCTGGGGCTCTGAAGCTGTAAATTACAATGGGAGGAGAGGACCCCATCTCTCTCCAGCAGAGCTGCTGATGGATTCCAACCAAAGCAGAAGCACAGCTTGGAGGGTGAGCTGGGACAGGCTGACTACACCACCAGATGCAGGTGAAATTTTAAGTTACAAAAGTGATGTAAAACCCTCTCTTCCAACCAAAGAACCAGTGAGAAAGAGGTACACATTTTTCTATAGGTAATACTCTAATGATTTAATTAAATATTAAAAAGTAAAAAAGAACATAACAACAAGACAAACATGTCTAACAATTTTTACACTGACTTCAGATGTGTGTGCCAAAATAAGTTTTCCTGGAGTGTTCTTTTGGGTATTCCTTACATTATAGCTAGATACTTGGGATTATTATAGAGGAAGGTGGGTTCACACTGAAATAAAGGCAAGGAAAACTCCAGGGACATTTTTACAGAACACAACAACGCTATTCCCAACAGCTTTGCTTCCTTCTTCAAAAGTCCAAAGACAAATCTACAAAGATAGGATACAAACATGAGAAGTCAAACTGAAAGACAAAAGGATAAAGTGTTCTGTGACAAAGGAACCAAACAAATAAAAAAGGAACTAAAAGCTGGTAATATTAAAGCCATATTATGAGCCTTAAGGATAACTGAAACCATTAAGGTCCCTGAAAATGGCTACAGCTGGAGGAAATTTTTTTTAAGAAGAAACTATTGTAGTTAAATCTGAAAAACTGTGAGCAATACTTGTTAAATTCTATGGCATCGTGTATTTTTCCATAAAGGCAGTTATGAGACAAATAAGTAGCGCTCTGGCGAAGGACTGGTTAAGTGCTTGGCTTTTAACCAAAAGGTGCACAATCCAACCCAATGGCTTTGTAGGGAAAGATTGGTTTTCTGATCCCCCAAGTATCACAGCCTGGGAACTATAGGGGTGGTTCTGCTCGGAGTCAAAATCAAAACCAAGAGTATAAAACAACGCAAAACCAAGATGTCTTCTACATCTTTCAGGAGTCCTCCGGGAGCCGAAGAGGGGGTAGGGAGATTTCTTTCTTAAATTCCAAAAAGAATACAGGTTACAAACAAACAAACAAACAAAAAACCCACATAAACAAAACCACCACCACCCAAAAAAAAACCCCACCCAGCGTCAATCAGTGTGTGTTCAGCCTAGCCACAGCCTTGGAGTTGTCAGTTTTATTGTGGGCAGACATTTATCCATGCCAAAGATTATGTCCCACATGGTACTCATTATGGTTGATAGCAACAAGACCACAAGCATTTCAACCATATGAACGCTCAACTCATGGGTCAAACCACGGGGTCAACACATCAGTGGTAAGTGCATTTGATCTTTGTGCTGAGATGGTCAGTATTACCTTCCCCAATGAGATTCTGAAATACTAGAGGTTAAAGCGGCAGGAAGACACAGCTAAGCAAGCAAGCATCAGATCTCACGTCAGTTACTACTAAGAAAAAGCAGAGGAACTGGAATCACTCCAGACAGCCAATATACTGTAGTAATTCACTTGTGAGTTCAGAAAGATTAATCCTTGTGGTCATAAGAGACTCTCAAGAAGGTATCATCTGAAATATAAAAAGCCTCTGTGGACCATATCTAGAAATCAACTAATCAAATATGACTCAACCTTACCTACAACCCAACAGGATAATTTTTTTTCTGTAATGTTTGTACTTCTTTTCTTAGAAAACATTTTCATTTAATTTGCTCTCTATTTTCTTAAATATGCACTGCCTTGGCTCCATTACATCAATGTATAAATCAATCTACTCCCGAACCTAACAAGTTACAAATGAGATTTCACTGCCAAGTCAGCACTTCCAATATCCTGTCAAGTTAGAATCCTTTCCAAAAGAAAATTAATGCTCCTTGTTTTGGCACTTATGCCAGTCCTTATGATACACGCACACTGCAGCACTTCTAAGGCATTGCAAATAAATTGCATCAATTGCTTCTCCCACCAGGTACTTCCATTTCACTTAATCAATCATTCTTAATAAGAAACTCCATTTTATTAATTTAGCTTGAAGCTTAGCTATCCAAGGACAGAAATTCAACTGGTAAAAAGTGCCTTAAGTACCTTGGGTGAAAACCTGTA